TTAATTTTCTCTCGAAACGTTTACGTGTTCATTCATATATTTTCAATACATTCCATTAACTTTTCATAAGAATACCTCCGATAGGACCTGCCATCAGAGGAACGATGATAAGTTCTCAGCATCGTAAATGATAAGCCTGAATTCATTTAACAAGAAATAAATTAAACGGTTTGTTTGCAAAAGTACATCAGAGTGACTTCGTACATCTGAAATTTTGTTCTTCCTGGTACAAAGTCACCCCCGTTTTAAAATGATAATATGGAATAATAAATGGTATGAATTAATTTAAATTTTTATGCTAAGGAAAATGAGTAAACTGTAAATAACTAGTATATAAACAACACTTCAATGAAATGTATTCGGTAAAATAATTGTGAGAGTTACTCCCCTATGAAAAAACACTTTCGAAATTGAACTATTTTTCTTGTCATCTCAAGCCATAAAAAGAAGCCTCAAAAGAACGAGCAGACCGGTATTGCCGTTTGATGTTTATACTTTCTAGAATCGACAAATTGTTGAAGTAACTGAAAATACACACGCTAACATTTAATTTAACAGACATTCTTTAAAATGGTGTATGGTACAAAGTCATCCTGCGTGGTATAAAGTCACCTCAAATGATTGTACTACGGTAAACCTGTCTAAGATGGAACCTCTGTAAGACAGAAATCTGGCATCTCGGACAAAAATCTCAGAACGGAACTGTTTTATACGTGAAAATTACCTCTATAAGCCGGAAAGCCACTTCGAGTTCGAATTGGCGCAGAGGCTCAAAAGTGCAGTCGCGTGGTGAACGCTGTCCCTATTAGGGTGTTAAACCACGATACATCTTACAGCAATCAACTTAACTTTTCAGCCCCTACGCATGCGCTAACTCGAAATCGAACTCGAATGTACCGCACAGTATCGTCACAGTTCAAAACTTCTTCCCTTACGACTTAAACGTTTGGGCAAAATTTCTTTCTTGATTTCACCCGGTATTGACCACAATATTGCTGTCGACTGATGTAACTCTACAGCGCGCTTAAACACCCTATTAATTCGTGGATATTATGGAAATTCATGAATCGATTCTCCCATTAAGGATTGGGATCGTGCCGAATTTTTAATAAAAAATTGATGAACATTTCGCTATAATATTTTCTTAAATAAATTATGCAATCATAATTATTTTCAAAAACATGGGTAACGTTAGCTCAGCAGCAACATCGTTGCGACTGCACCATCATTGACCGGGAGGTCGTAGGGTTAGAGCAGACGGTGACGGCTTTTTGACATTAGCTGGGTCACATTCAATTATTGTTTGGAGGCGAATTCGAGCGGCCGACTGCTCTGACCGGAAGTTGTCCGTGGTTTCTCCGATCAAAACTACGGGAATGACAGAGCAGTACCCTTACAAACGGTCACGGATTGCGCGCGATCTTTCCTTCCTCGCCCTTGACCCCTCCCTTTACATTACAAACACACACACGTAAATGCTCTACACTACCAAACATGACGGGAAATCAGTTAAAGCGCTGAGCTTATCCTGGCTGGAATAGATGTCCGATGGGGGAGAATATCTGGAGAGAAAAATCCCACAAGCCGACATGTAGATCAGCTGAGGTTCTTTATCCACCAGGTGAGTACCACTGCATCTTCCCAGGATATAACATGCACACCACTTATCGGACGTACAACCCATACGGATTAGACCTATAACCGAGAGAGATGGCTCAGGACCACTACAGATGTCACTGCAGTCTCTCTGACCGGGTGGTCCTGGCTTCGAGTCACGACAGTGACAGGGTTTTCGTCACTAGCTAGATATCTGGGTCGAGTTCTGTCGCTGTCAAGAAGAGAATTCTAGATGCCGGCTGCTCTGATCGGAATTTTTCTTTGGTTTCTCCGATCAACACCAGGCGAATGCCGGAGCAGTACCTTAACAAATGGGCCTCGGACCGCGCGCGATCTTTCTTACCCCTACCTTGTACTATCCTCACCCCTTATATTAACATGCTCTACACTACCACACATGCAGGGACACCGGTCGGGAGCTTAGCCACCAGCTGGGGCGGTGCCCCGCTGGTGGGAGATTCGCGGTTGAGGGAAACTCCGCTTGCGGAGGGTCGGCGCCGGATATCGCCATACAGCGGGGGAAGACCACCGCCACTTCCTGAGCAAAAATATGCACTACACTTACGGTACTAATGACCTCCGTAGTTGACGCGCCCGAAATCACTAACAATCAATCAATAGATTACGTCTATGGGTCGTACGACCCGAAGAATTAGTTAGTGTCTGACCCATCCCCACTTCCCCGCTGGGTTCTGCCTTCGTCGTCGGCCGGCGAAGGCCCAGCCGCGTGGCGCGAGGCGCGAGGCTGAGCGCAGTGCTTGCGTGTGTCGCAGAGGGTGGCGAGGGCGGCGAGGGCCCCGAGGGCGCGCGCCCGCTGCACGAGCTGCGCAGCCGCTTCCCGGCCTTCAAGTTCCCCGAGCGCAGCGCGCTGCACGTGCGCTGCGAGCTGCAGCTGTGCCGCGGCCGCTGCCCGCAGGCGCCCTGCGCGGACGCCCCGGGCGCGCGCCGCCACGCGCAGCGCGCGGCCAAGGTGAGTGGCCCCCTGCCTTAGCATTCATGGTCCCGAATCCTTTTTTGCGAGAGCGACATTCCGAACGTTAATTTTAAAATCTGGATATCCTGTTCCGAGCTAATACGTGGTTTGTTGATGGGATTTGCAAGGTAATTTCAAGAATATTCATGCAGCTGTTTACGAAAATGGGTTTAATGAAAAGGAGCGAGAGTTATACAAATCATGAAGTCCAATTTGCTCTGTATTTAGTTCACTAAGTAACAAAGATAAAATTTCTGATGCAGAAGTATTCCTAAATGCAGCTCAAAATATTAGCACTCAGATATCATTACCTAGCAAAGTAATGTGTGATATTGAAAAGGCTATAACAAACAGCATATCGGAAGTTTTACTTGACGGTGCGTTTTCGCATTGTTTCCTCCATTTGTCGCAAGCTGTGTACAGAAGGATACAAGCAGAAGAACTACAGGAGCAATTACCTTGAAAAAACGCTAGTTAAAAACAGAAACGCATAAGATGTTAACAGTTGCTTTGGTACCCGTCGAAGACGTGTCGGTCTGATGGGGTGGAAAGTGAAAGCAGTGCCTCAAAAAAGTGCTTAACTGTATAAAATAGAATTAACGCTATAGTTTTGACGTGTCCTCAGTTCGGAAAGTGTGACTAATTAAAATAATTTCCTGTCTCTACTTTGATTCATTACGTATATTTCAGGGGGAGCCAGGAGAAGTTCTACAGACGCTGGAAGTCTTCAACAGTGTAGAAGTGCTGGCGCCAGGCATCGAACTCGACCCACGACCTGCGTTGCTGCAGCCTGGCCGGCCGCGCGCCCGAGCAGGTACAGAATACGCCAGATAGAGAATTGGTTGGTTGAGTTTACGCTAAAAGTGTAAACAGTATTTGGTGTTAGGAAACGAAGAATGCTGCTCGTTAGTAATGAGTAGAGCCCTGTTAGTCAAAATGCTTTATGATCAGTTACAATTTTAAGACGTTTACAAACATGAACTTGCTTTGTTTTTGGAATTGTTTTGGAAATTTTGATTTTTCCTTTTCGGGTTGCATTTTAGCTCTATATGCCTATTTCAAGCATTTTGCATTATTTTGGTACATTTCTTCCTTTCTTCTGGCACTGATCTGGATCAATCTGGAAACCTACCGGCAAGAGTGAACAATAATTGGATTTTGTCGTGTTTTGTCATTCCCTGCAAGTGAATGCAGGAGTTCAAGTAGGAAGTATTCATCTCTCTAGGTTTTAAAATCATATTTCAAAAAGCAATATGAGACCAGTCACGTTTCTCAGATTTCCTTTATCGATGCCGACAGGCTTTCTTAGGCCACAAGGAATTCCATCCCACCATCAAATAAGACCTTTGATTGCTTTGAAAATAATTTTGACAAAGCGTTTGTAATGCTAATAATAGTTTTCAAGCTGTTTTGAACCCTTATTTTAGCCAGAAAGTATGCGTTGTATATCAATTTTATTCAAAATAAGTCGCTTTTGTCTGCCTATTTTGAACAAAATAAATGCCTGAACTTTCCGGGATCTAGTGATGAGGCTTGAGCAGGGACTGTCGCACAAGCTTTTTATAGGAATTGGTACAGAATCACATGCAAAACTTTTTTTTATAGGAACCCCCTAATAAATTTTTCTTACAAAATTTTATATTTTGTCATAAATACCTTTTGTAAAAATATTTAACATTTCTTAGCAATTTTACTAACGTTCGAAAATGTAAGAACGATATTTAATTCAGGGTATAAAACGTAAATAATTTGGGTTTTAAAAATATTTTAAGTTACAGCAATTGATTTTCACATTTTTACTATTTAAACAAATCAGTAGTACAATGCATCGAAAATAATTAGACAAGTCACTTAAAATAAAGTTACCATTAAACGTGCTAGTGGAGTTGATTCTTGAAATTGATTAATAAATCTTTAAATTTCCGACTGTAAAGAATTAAGGATTTATAAATCAATGTCAAAATCCGTGCTGATCATTAAGCTCTCTTATATAAAAAACTAGTTTACGTTATATTTTTGTCAGCATCGGATGGGTACTCGGCCGTATTGGCCACAGTCGGTCGTGCTTAGAATCCCTTGTGCGTCTGCGCAGATCCGCGTCCGTCGTCAGGCGCGGGCACGGGTGCGGGGTCGGGCCCGGGCACCGGCGAGCGCGCGCTCTGCCTGCCCGCGGCGCGCCTGGCGCTGGCCTTCGGCCTGTTGGGGCTGCTGTTCCTGGCGGCGTTGGGCGTGGCCGCGTACTCGCTGCTGCGCGCGCGCCGCCGCGCCGCCGCGCGCCCGCCCTCCGCCTGGTCGGGCAGCTGGGACGCCGCGTCGGCTCACCGGTTGCTGCTGCTGGCCGAGGAGCCCGCCCGCCTGGGCCCCCCGCGCCCCCATTGGGCCGCCGGCCGCTGAGCGGGCTACGCCGACCTCAGCCCCTCAGCCCCTCAGCCCCGCTGCCCGCCACGGCCGAGGAACGCCATCCGACGTCGCTGCGGAACTGCCGTCGATTGGCGCTGCCTCTGAGCAGTTCTGTCTCTGAACGTCGTGGGTTGCTGACTACTATGGGTCGCTGAGCGCTGGGAGTCTGAGTGTCAGCGTCTCTCAGTGCATTACTGCTGAGCGATGCTCCGCTGAATAGTAAACACTCTGGGTCTCTGAGCACTGCCGCCTCTAAGTATCCGGAGTGGTGTAGTGACAGTGACCTTAAGACCCCGGAGTAGTTTTATCGACCCGCTGCCTCCGAGTGTCTCTTGTCTTCAAGCGAGAACGTCGCTGAGCGGCAATGGTACTACTGAACGCAATGGATCTCTTTGAGTACCACGGGTCACTGAGCACAGCTGTGATCGGAATGATGCTTTAATGAAGTGATACGTTTCATTGAAATTTGCCAATGTTCAAACTCCAGTAGAGTCGAAGTTCCCAGTCAAAACAAACTTGGCCCTTTTTCGATATCTTCTAAATCTAACAAAGTTGAAGAATAATCTACGTCTAAACTATGAATTTATCTCATTCGACTTATAACCTGATGTAGATTCATATGGGAAATCTAAATTTTGTCATGCTGTGGCATGGTCAGATACATTCTGTAGCACAATAAAGCCGACATTCAGATAGGGACGTAATGTAAATTCCAGAAGGAACGGAACAGAATTACGAAAAGTTACAGAAGCTCAGAAATCTACTCGTATATTAAATAAACAAAACTTATTTAACATTATACATATGCCTTTTTGAACTGTTTATTTGGTCATCTACCAGGATTATCGCAAGTTTAAGAAACGTATTAACTCCGATCATTCCAATCTCAGACTCCTGGCGCCAGGACAGTGCCATTATGAATAGAAGTTGACGAGCGTCCTGAAACCCAGTTGCCTCGAACTGTTGGATCAATTTACAAATGATATATGCCTGACAAAATGACTCTTCCAGGCTAGGTGACTGGAGCAGCTGACTCAACGTGAAACCTTCAGTGATTTTCTTCTGCAATCCCGAGTTCAGACGTCTACTTCTTTTTGGCGGAACGTCTCATGGAAGATTTAAAGGTATTAAGGTGACACTTTTGATAATTCGGGAATCTCCGCGAGATTTCTTTGCATTTGTAGAAATCTCTGCGATTTGTCTCGAAACTTGCAATGGGAGGGGTGTTTAGATTAATTTGCGGGGGACAGATGACATGATTGCACAATTATACTGTGACAATATAATAAGCCCTTAGTAAATTTATGGTTGTGAAGTTCACAATTAACCATTATAATTTCGTAATATACGACATTTCTTGCAAATCCAAAATGCATTTTATTACTAATAGGATGTATTTGTATGGCATCCAAAATATTATACAATATGTTAAATATTAGAGAAAAATATTGAAGAGCAGTCGAACTCAAACTATGAATTTTTCATATTTTAACCAGAACTTCAATAGTGAAGTCCACATTTTACATTAAAAAATAGGTTAAACAACATTTTACATTTTTAAAAAAATTTTAATATTTGTTTGAGATCGAAAGATACTTTAAAGCTATTCCCACAATTAAATCTTGTAAATATGATCAATACAATCGAATTACAGCAAACAAAAAGGTTCGAAATTACATTTTTTCGGGTTTGAGTTAATGACGGGAAATTGTTCTTAACATATAAAATGAAAAATATGCTAAGCATAAACGTTTGTTTGAAATATTTATGATGTCTGTAGGGGTCCTTCAGCTTTTAGTGGCAAGTAAAAATGTTTGATGTCTGAGACATAGAAACTTTTTTTTTTGATCCAAAAGTTGAAGATCATAGTCATCAAACGTTTTGTTTTCTCAAATTTAATTGAAGTTACAACAGCTTTATTAGTTTTGATTTGCATTAGAAAGAAAACATATTGCCATCAATATAGTCTGAATTGAGCATTATTGTGCTACTTAAAACTACATTTCTTTTGTAAAATTATTTTCTAAATCAGCCTTTTTGTAATATTAACAATCAAAATGTATATTGAAATGTATATCATAATGTATATTTGAAAATCGCTATATCAGAAAGTCTCACGAGTAGGTTTGAATACGGTTTAAATACTTAGAAATGAATTCTTTGATTTTTACACATTTGCTTTCCCCTGCAGGTTCATAATTATATTTTGTGAAACTTGTGTCTTATAATAATAGCAATATTGAAAGAAAAAACAACCTCATCTGATCTTAAAATCTCCAATTGCTATAATAAGTTATTTCTCATGACAATGGCTATCATGTAGAGGGTTCTCATATTTTTCATTTTAAATATTTGTTGAACATTTTCCTAATTGTTAAGATTAACTTTGTAAAAGTGGCTGAAGTTTTGATATGTGCCTTTGTTTTTTTGATAAAGATACTTCTAGTAATACAACATGTAATTATCATTTCTTAAAAATATAATTTGAAATTATTACAAATCATATATTTTTTGACAGATTGTCCAGAGTGTGTGTCTTTGAAAAGAATTACACCCTCTTCTTGATTTGAGGAACTTCTCAGCCTCTCTTCCTTTTCTTTGCATGCATCTATTATATCTGTCTTCTTATAAGGTAAGTCTGTCTTAAGCATTCTATTTATCTTGATCTCAATCTTGAACATTTCTTTACTATAGAGGCGAAATATATATTGAGATAATGGCAAAATAAGATGTGGTATTGTACAAGCCTGGAATTTAATATGTAATATTTGAGTATTTTCAATATCTTTGGTGATGTATTTAATACACACAACAAACATTCTACTCTGAACGTGGTGAATTGTAAGCATCAAAGAAACAAAATTTAAACATAGAAAGTAATTTTTCGTAAATCTTTCCTTGAAATCTTCATATATGAATGTTTCTATATTTGTTTCTGTTTATCTATTGTACTTTGTATTGATACTAAAGAAAAAGTATGTACTGTGTATTGTATTTTGTATACATTTTCATTTTTAGGTTGCAAATTTTGAATGTTTTTCTCCTTAAATATAATGATGTGCATAAAGAACACAAATTTCTGATGGTTTGGAATCAATATACAAAACCATATTGTGCATGTTTCAGCATATTGGTAATAATTGAGCATATTTTTACTTTAAAAACATATATTGGCATATTTAAATGTGCTTGATTTTTTTTTCTTCGGTAAAATGTTAACTACTTGTGTTGACTTTGTGACTTTTGCATTTGAATCGCATGGTTGTACAATACAACAGGATCCCAGGGCAAAAACACATGCACTGGGACATAGTGATGTTGCTTTTCACTGCTATGTCCCTGTTCATATAGCTGTGTGACATGTGAAAGCTTCTGTCAGGTAGAGAATGCCAAATAAGCATAAGGGGTATGTTAAAGAGGTTGGACCTGCTTACCGAAGGTCTTCCAACCTTGCAGTCCTCAGGCTGTGCCCAGAAAACATGCATATATACATACATTTCAGCAGACTGTTGGTACCCTGTCATGTTTGCACAACTAATATCCACCGAAAGAAGCATTGTTTTCTATGCCCTGATCCTCTCTGCCTGTGTTCAACGAACATTTCATGATCTGTAGAGCACCCTGTTTCCAAGGACTGTACAATGTGAAGGCAACAGTGGCTCTCCACATTCTCTTCTCCAAAATGGTGCATATAGGAATAAATGGTCGGTGCTCAAGAAAAGTGGCATATCGAAGAAAAATGTTATTTTGCAAGAAAACAATTTTTCCCTAAGTAGAGCCATTTATTTCACAACCAATGCCAGTGATTTACTCTAAAACTCAGTTGTATGGTGAATTATTATTTTTATTTGTACTAGTATATATAGACTATTTTCTAAATATATTCCATAAAAATAACAATTTTTGACACGTATGGCTTTTCTTGTGTATCGACAATATGTAATGTGCAACTGAAGGTGTAATTCATCCACATTCACAACACCTTAATGCTAATACTTTGATTTCTTCAGAGATTTTTCACAGATTCTATAAGAACTAACATTCAAAGAGAAACTACTTTAAATTCTCCTTTCATCAGTTCCATCTGTTTTAACTATGTAGGGGGAACACAGCTCAATATTGCACATTAAAGGTATTAAGAAGGTACTTCGTTTACTGAATCTGGTAGTGATTTGCACTGTTTCAGCAAGAATGGCTACATAAGAAGAAAGACTCCACAACAAATTGTCACATCAACACATGCTTCATTAATTAATTCACTCTGTCTGAAATAATCATTAAACTTCAAAAGCATTATCTCAAGCTGACCACTACAGTAAAGTTGAATTCTTTTCAATAATCAATCAAAAAAATTTCCATATCTGAGAACTGTGATAAAGATAAATATAGTATTATATTGTGATAAGCATACTATTTCACAGCAAAAGAAATCAATGCTTTTCGGTATTGACTTCTAAATTAATATAAAGTTGAAATAACATTTTCTGTGTGTGAGAACAAACTGTCAAATGACAGAAAAAGGAAAACACACAAAATGTAGAAAAATATGTGGTAATTGGTTGTATTAGGAATTAAATGCATAATTTATATTTCAAGATGTAATCTTAGCTTATTAGTGTAAAATAAAAGTCACACTTTAATAATATAAATCACACTCTGTGCGTATGTTTTGCTTTAAGTGCATATTTTGCATGCATATTTTCATGATTTTTAGAGCATATAAATCCACACCATAGATATTACATTTCTTGCATGTAAGCATATATTCAATTATATTTGCAGCTTCTACTCTTTTACTCAGAACACAAATGTAGATAAACACATCTTGAGTATTCATGTGAAACTACAGTTACAGCTGTAGAACAAGTTAATTACATCACTAAGCTACATTTTTTCTATTCTTTTGAAGATTTCTTTTCTTCTGAAATTTGGATGTACTAAATTTTTTTAATTTTGTTTTTTTAACTAAGTCTCAAAACATTGAAAATGTTCAATAAAAACCTTTTTTGGACCTAATATTTTTTTGCATCTAAAAAGTAGTTTTACATATTAGTGTGATTAAAAGAAAACTGGTTTTATTTCCTGTCTAGTGAAATATATTGTGTAGACAAATTTAATAAAATCAACTTCAACTTACTTTATCTCCGAATATGAATTTTAGACTTTGTGAGTTTCACTTGTGTACTGACAATCGCTTCAACAAAATAACTTTACAAATGTATGCAATTGGCATAATTAAAGCGTATTTGATTACACTGGTAGTGCAGATTCTTGGAGCATCATCCAAGCATGTGAAGCTGAAAGCTGAGTTATGTTGTTGCTGAGTTATGAGAAAGCTGTTACATAAGACATGAATGTTTTCAGCAATTGGTTATGGAATGAATGGCTTCTCATAATATCATGAATGGCCGTATATACTGTCAGACTTATCGTCCTATTGAAATTCCTCATAACTCACCCCACAACGTTCAAATCTTCATCATCATCATCATCATCATCATCATCATCATCATCATTCAAACAGTGGAAGCTAAAGACAAACCTCTACCCTAATGGGTTGAAATGAATGCAAGCCTTCTCTCCAACCCAGGCTCAATAATTGAGTATAGAAATCGCCGTCATCATCGCCATCATCAAAAGGAAGTATTATATTTGTCAATATTGATCCATGTTTGAATGGAAATTCTCAAAATGTGCACAATCAGGATGGATTATTCCATAAGCAGACTAAGAACTTGCGAAGAACTCCTTTTAGATACGGATCTGCAAACTTTTTAACAAAATTGTATCGTCAATTCTAAATGTTACAAATATTTTAATTTTTAAAATTGAAATATTTGCAATATTGCATATATTTTCACATTAATTTTGAATGCACGTGTTTAGTACTTCAATATTAAAATTTTATGCCTATTTTGTTCATACTTAGAGCCCTTAAGACATTTATACAGCATTACAGGAGATGAAAGTGAGATTTTTCTGCGAGACCAGCGATGAAAGTATCTGAAGAGCTTTGAATCTTGCCAAGAATTTTGTTGAGAATGATTAGTAATCATGAATGTGCTGGAAAGATGTTTCTTTGATCATATTGGTATTCTATTATGAGCCAAAAGAAAACCTCACACCACTGACATAAAGAACAACAAACTTTTGGTTCTCAGGGTTTCAATTACAATAACAATGTTACGCACACGGCATTACAACTAAATGGAACTTCTGCAAGAATCCTTCAGTGTCAGTGATGAACCATGCCTGATTTCTTCTAGCTGTTTTGTTTTCAACAATTGAATTGTTTAATCAGGCGCGAATCCACGGGGGGGGGGGGGGGGGAATGGGGGAAATTCCCCGGCCCCCAAAAAATAATCCAATTACTATTAATTTTAACGTCTCACGAAACTTGCCAGTACATAATGGTGCTAAAACAGCATGTACTTTCTCGCCCGCACTAGCACGCAAAAATACGCTATTAGTACTCAAATTTCCAAAAAGTTTTCAAACTTTTCGATATTTTCAAAGTTTTGAAAAGGAAGACGGCGAAAATATTTTGATTTTTTTAATTTTTAAATAATCAGGGTATAAAAATTGATTTTTTCAATTTTTAAATAATCAGGGTTTATGATCTTAAACGGTCTTCAGACTATCCATCAAGATTTGATAAAAATGTATGGAGCCGATTTTGAGACAACTAGTGGTGCTACAACAGAACATTTTCTCGCCCGTCAGTAAGGGTTATATAGCAAAATTCTTCTGGAAATTTTCGAAAAAGAAAACGAGCAATACCCGTAAATGAGACTAGCGCCATATTTTTTTCTGTTCCTTAGTACATATAAGGAGAAAATTGAAAGAAACCATATGGAGCGGTTTTTGAGAATTATTTTGTAAATTTCAGTTGCAAAATACACAAATAATTGGTAATTTTTTCCAAAATGACCTTTTTTGAAGATATAATTTTGTACAACAGACTTAGTCGAGGGTAAACATCTCTATCTCCAATTTTGAAGTTTTATTTATTTTTTCCAATTTCCAAAAGATCGGAGATGACAACGAAAATGATACCTGCAACATTATCTTAAACGCCTTTTGTCGTATTCAACAACAAAATTTAGTCAAAAAATTTGGAGCTATTTTTTGGAAAATTTGAAAATGTCCTATGGGGCTTCATGTAAAGTACCTGCCAAAATTAAAATATCGGTTTGAAATTTCAGGGGCCGCGACATCATCTAAAATGGTTGGGGAATATCAGTTTTGGAGCAAATCGGCATATAGTTCATGCGGTTTATGCGCTAGCGTTGTGCATGAATGGACGGAGGGACGGACGGACGGAGGGAGGGACGGACAGACGGAGGAACGGACGGACGGAGGGACGGACGGAGCGCGGGACGGACAGACGGAGGGACGAACAGACGGACGGACGGAGGGACGGACGGAGGGACGGACGGACGGACGGACGGACGGACGGAGGGACGGACGGACGGACGTTCTGCCGTAAATCTATTTACCAGTATCAAAGCCACAAAACACGGATTCCGGCTACACCTCGTGTTAGGGGAATATATTGTTCTATATTTAGCAACTGGATTTATCCACTTTTTCCATATCAGGGCCCACCAAAAAGAGTTTTTGTGTCGCAAATTCACTGTTTTCCGGTGCATACTTTTCCTTCTTACGTTAGTAAGTGCGAGAAAGTAAAAATTTTTTGAATAAAATTAAAAATTTCCTGTATTTCATCAAAATTATGTGGAAATAGACAATTTTTCGAAAAATTGTAAATGAACTTATTTCAAAAGATATCTTTAAGGAACAGATTCCATTGAGGGAAAACATCTCGATCTTTAATATTTTTGGCGGTGGAAAATTCCGAATTTTTTAAAAAACTTTTGCAATTTTCCAAAAATTTTGATTTTCAACGTACATGAGATCTGCACTATTCTATTAAACGTCCTTTACAGAATCCAACAACAACAAAAATGATGGAGCCATTTTTTTGAAAATTTGAGATGTGCCACGTGTTCCATGTAAAGTAGCCGCAAAAATTCGGTTTCAAATTCAAGAGGCCACGACATCAGCCAGATGGATTGGAGAATATTAATTTTGGAGAATATCGGCTGAAGGGTTTAGCCTCTAGCGTTGTTCACAGGCGGCCATACAGTCGCTTTGCCGTCATTCAATTTTTCGGTGTCAAGGACCTGAAAACGGATTCTGGCTACACCACGTGTTAGAGGATTTTTTTCGAAAGTTAGCAACTGGATTTATCCACTCTTCTGTTGCCAGGGTCTTGTAATAAGAGTTTTTCTGCACAAAACTTGGCAATTTCTGGCCAAAGATTTTGCGTAACTTGCGACAAATTTACGAAAAAATCTTTTCTCAAAAATCGCTCCAATTTTTTTCTTTAAATTTTCTCCACATATAAATAAGGAACGGTCAGATATATGGCTCTAGTTTCATTTTTGGGTGTTTTTCAAATATTGCGAAAAGGAATTGTCGTATAATATTATTACATAACCGTTACTAAGGGGGCTTGAAAGTATGTGCTGTTGTAGTACCACTAGTTTTTTCATAAGCGGATCCATAGTTTTTGATGTTATGTTGGTGGATAGTTTGAAGGACGTTTAAGATAATGGTGTTGGTCTCATGCTGGTTGAATACCCTTAATTTGTTGAAAATTGAAAAAATTCAAAATCTTTTCGGCTTCCTCCTTTTTGAAAATTTTAGCACTTTTGGCGTAATTTTGCGTGAAAATACGGGCGAGAAAGTAGTGCTGTTTTAGCCTCACTAGTTCCTTGCAAGTTTCGTGGGAAGTTAAAATTAATAGTCACTGAAAAATTGGGGAGGGGATTTTTCTTATTTCTCCTCCCCCCGTGGTCCCCGCCTGATATATACACACAGGCACACACACAGGCGCGCGCGCTCACACACACACACACACACACACACACACACACACTCTCTCTCTCTCTCACTCTCACTCACGCACTCACACACACTCACACACACACACTCACACTCACTCACACACACACTCTCACTCTCACTCGCACACACACACACACTTACACACACTCACACACACTCACACTCACTCACACTCACTCACACACACACTCACACACTCACACACACACTCACACTCACACACTCACACTCACACACACACTCACACACACACACACACACACACAGTGGTCCTCCTTAATATGTGATATCGGAAAGTATCGGGAAAATTAAGTTTTTTCCAAAATTATCAGTTAATTTCCTAAATTAAGTTTCATTTTGTTTCGCGTCTATCTTCGAAAGTATTAGTCGGATTTGACTCTAGTTTGCTCCGTTCAATTTCTCGCAAAATGGTATTCCTACGTGATATCAGAAATAAGCGTCAAAATTAAGTTTTCAAAGTTTCCAGACTATTTCTCAACTAAGGCTTTATTTTATTTCGCGTCTATCTCCGAAACTATTAGTCGGATTGGACTGTGGTTTGCTCCATTGCATGTCTCGTAAAATTCTCTACCTTTACACGTAATGTCGAAAAATAGGGACAAAATTAATTTTTTCCGAAAAATTTCCACACATTTCCAAACTTTGTCACTTTTTTTTGTTTCAAGCATATCTTAGAAGTTTTAAGTCGAATTGGAGTCCGTTTTGCTACATTCAATTTTCTGTAAAGCGTTCTATCTGTATAAGTAATTTTAAAAGGGAGCGACAAAATTAATTTTTTCCCAAAATTTTCAGGCAATTTCTTTACTTAGGGAAAGTTTTGTTTCGCATCTTTGAAATTATTAGACTGATTGGAGTACGGTTTGCTCCATTCAATTGGTCGTCAGGTGTTCTACCGATATATGTAATTTCAAGGAGTATCGACAAAATAAATATTTCCCAAGATTTTCAGCCAATTTCCTTAGGCACAGTTGTTTCGCGTCTATCTCCGAATTGGCGTACGGTCTGCTCCATTATTATTCCGATTGGCGTACGGTTTGCTCCATTATTATTATTCCGATTGGCGTACGGTTTGCTCCATTCAATTTGTCGTAAAGTGTTTGAACTTTATACATAATTTCAAAAATAAGCAACAAGTTCCTTTTTTCCCAAAATTTTCAGCCAATTTAACCCAGCTAACTTAAGCACAGTATTGTTTCGCATCTCTCTTCAAAACAGTTAGTCAAATTGGAGTCCAGTGTGCTTCATTCAGTTTCTCGTAAAGTGTTCTACCTATATACGTAATATAATAGAGAAGCACCCAAATTCATTTCTTCCAAAAAATTTCTGCCAAATTTCTAACTTGGTCATAGTTTTGTTTCGCATTTATCTTCAAAACCATCAGTCGGATTGGAGTCCGGTATGCTCCATTCAATTTCTCATGAAGTGTTATACGTAATTTCAAAAAGGAGCGCCAAAATTAATTTTTCCACCAAAATTTTAAATCAATTTCTTAACTTAATATCATTTTTGTTTCACATCTTCATAATTATAAGCCAGATTAGGGTTTCGTTTGCTCCATCCAATTTGTCGTAAAGTGTTTTACCTAAATATGTAAAT